TTTTTTCTTTTTTCCCGAGCGAGTTCCAATCGCGAACGTTCTCGTTGTTCTCCCGAGTGTAAAACTTTCCAGGCGTCTTGTAGCTGCCGAGTCTCAACTGCTCAAATTGTGTGATGACTAGGTGCAAATCACAATATGATCAGGTTCCCCCCCACGCACACACACCGAGAAAGTAAAGCTTTTCTGGCGTACTGCCCTAATTTCCAGTTTTTACTGGGTTCTAGTGTTTGGGTTGACTCTTTTTTTTTTCTTTAATTAATCCGTTTGGCGCATGTGTTCATACTTCATAAAAGAAGTTTGCAGTTTAACGTATGTATTTGACAGCGTTTGTGGTGTTGATAACATTTTGGGCAAGCTGATACTGAGGTTAGGGGTGCTAGTTTTCTTTAGATAACGCTGAACTTGCTCCTGTGCTTAAATATAGCTTAGCGAGTCTTCTGGGTCTTCAATCTGTTGAAATCATTCTGGGTAATTTCTCCTTGGAACTGTTAGTCGTTTGGTTAATACGTGTTGTGGTTCCTTCCTTTTTAGGTGGCTATGGCTACGGGACAGGTGCTATTTCAACGTTTTTTTTATACCAAGTCTTTTGTGAAGCATTCCATGGAGGTAAGAAAGCATTAAAAGATGTGTATAGCTACAGATGCCATTTAATCTTTGTGTTTTGGCAAGTTGTCATCTTAGATGTGATCAGAGCCTTAGTAATTGTAGATTTTATCGATCAACATGACTTTACAAAGCTACATAGTACTGTTTTTTGTCAAAATTACAGTATTTCCTTGTTTTACCACCATTTTCTCTTGTTATCCCTCCTTAAGCTGTTGGAGGCGATCAGTTCCTGATTTGAGCAAAACGTCAGTATGTTGCAATACTTCTGTTTCAGCATGTGTCAATGGCCTGTGTTCATCTGGCATCCAAAATTGAAGAAGCACCAAGACGCATAAGGGATGTAATTAATGTGTTCCATCGCCTTAGACATCTACGGGAAAAAAAGTAAGCTTAAGACTTTGAAATAATCTGAAGTATTTATGTTGTCTTGTAATTATTAAACTTCATGGGCCGATGATAGTATCATTCCCTGTTTCATAAATCAGGGAGCATCTTGAAGAGATCTCATGAAGGCGAAAAGTGAGTTGACCCGTTCTACGAAGTGAATATTTTTGGTGTTATAAATAGTGATGTCTCTTATTTTTCGCACAAACACAACCTGCATTTGAGAATTCTTTGAGGTTACGGTTATCTTCAGAATTTGAAATTGTCTTGCAGAAAACCTGTGCCTCTAATACTGGATCAAGAGTATGTGAACTTGAAGAATCAAATTATTAAGGCAGAAAGAAGAGTGCTAAAGGAGTTGGGATTTTGTGTTCATGTAAAGCACCCTCATAAGGTTTGTACTGTATAAGTTAACTTTTTCAGCAGTGTTTCGTGTGCTGTAGACACAGTCAGGCAGTCTGCTCAAAGCTTGGAAGCTGTGTGGGATAACAGTAGTTAATTCAGGAAAGCCAGCTTCTTACGATCCCAGTGTCTTCTTTCTCATTGAAGAGATTCTTACTAGTTGGTCTGGTGTCACTGCTGAATGACAACTGGAGGTGGATGCAAGTGCTGAGTATTCCTTGAAGTCAGATGACAGAAGTAGGTAGCTTTGGTGTTAGAAAATGTCAGCCAAGCCTAGATTCATGAGCAGAAAGGAATTTGGAGACCCAGAGTTGCGATAGCCTGTTACCAGAAACACTGTGTGTTATTGATCCGTCCTTGGGGAAGCACGCTGAGGTTACTGAACTCGTCTGAGCTAACCAGCAGTGCTTATGTTCTGAAAAGTCTGCTCAGGTGTGAAGGGCTTGACTGGAATTCTCAGTGTTTTAAGCAGAATGATACTTGAAAGGCGCTACTACTGCAGGTGTGTAAGTTGGTGCTTTAGTACTGTTGGCATTATGCCTTGGGTAGTTAAGTGTGGTAAAAGAACCTGCTGCTTCTGTGCCAGCAGAACTTGGGATCTTGCTCTTTCTTCCTCTAAAAACTGCTGCTGTCTCCAAGTCTTCTTTTTAAGCCTAGTAGACTTTCAGAATTCGCTCATGTTACCAGTACCCCAGAGGACGACTGTACTTGTTTGTTAACTGGTATGAATTTTTGCTGTGAGAGTAGTCTTTCTGTCTGCATCCTTGTTTTCCTTTAAAACCTAAGAAAAAAACCCGAGACTGAACAAACCAGTGACACACGACATGTTAGATCTGTTCTCTGCAAATACTGTCACTCTTCTGTTACGGCTTACTGCAGCTAGCAATATTTTCTCCCGAGTTACAGCTAAAAGGAATCGTGAGTTGTATAGGAGACCATACCTAGCTTGAAAAGAGTTGAAGACAAGCCTTCTAGATGAATAGCATGATGCCTGAGCTCGGAAGACGGAGAGCTAGGAAGGTCAGACCTGTTTGAGTGTCCAGCTTCTGCACTGGCGAGCAGAAGGTGGGCGGATAAGCACTGGGGGTGTTGTGAACACTCTCACGTGGAGTGTCTTAGAACTTGAAAGAGAGTAACAGGTGCCTCACGGATGTCCCTCTGAAATAAATGGGTGGCTCTGGAGATTCTTGTTAATAACTCAATAACCCGTATCTTCCAGATAATCGTTATGTACCTTCAGGTATTAGAATGTGAACGTAACCAACACCTGGTCCAGACTTCATGGTAAGTTGATTTTCTTTGTTATAAGAGACCAGCAGGGGCAGTAGCAGAAATATGTCACTTGAGGCACTCTGGGCAGCATTGCTCAAATGATTGTGGGCCACACCAGACAGCTCCAGTGTTTCTTGGCGTGCCCCAAAATGTTGATCGGCCTCTTAAGTTAGAGGCACTGTTTTAATGGTAAGGTAGCCTTCCACCCTGACTTCTCACTTCCCTCCTCTCTGCTTTCACTTTCCAGCTGAAGGGATGATGTTGAGTGGGTTGTAGCGTTTCCTTGGGTTTCTTTTGTTCTTCAGAGAAAACTATGAGTTAAAGTCTGTTACCAGTGCTGGGAAATGGCTTTTCCCAGGGCTTGAGCTTGATTACAGGTGTATCAGGAACTCAGCGCAGATAAATTTGTTATCTCTATGGATAATGTCAGATGTCAGCTTCTAAAACTGGAGAAACTCGATGTTTTCATGTTTGCCAAGAAATGTCCTCTGCCTTGTCGCTCTATTTACTGTAAAGATTTGCTTGGGGATGGGAAGCTTATGTAAAAATTCCAGGTCTTAAACTTCGTAAATAGATAATGCATTTAAACAATAATGCTCTTTAACAGTACTGTGGTTTAAAAACCTTTAGTGAATCCAAAGATCATATTTCTGCTGACTGAACTGTCTGGTACTGTGACGTGTGTGTAGAGAACCAGTTTTGACTTTTCTTTTCTGTACTCTTTTGATCAAAGGGTAGCCTCTGAGGGTAAGTGACTAAGACTTCTCCTCTGCTGCCCAAGCGCTATGGTGCAGGGATAGCTGCCGTCTTCAGTCAAACCAAAGCAGGCTCTACCAAGAGAAGGCTGACTCTAGACAGGTGGTATATACATGATAGTATAGTAACTGGCCAACTGCTGCTTGTGCTTATACTTTTTGCCTTTTTATTGTGCATTTTGACTGTTGTATATTTGATAACCTGATTGTTGAAGTTCTGAATGGTTTTTTTTAATGTTCCATTTCTATAACTGTTGAAATGATGTGTTCTTAAATGATGAAGCAAACTAAGGTGGGATGTCAGTCTTAATGGGGTGAATTAACACAGCAAACACCAAAATCTCGTTTCCATTTGTAAACTAGTTAGAAAACATTTGAGTACACGTGTGAAGCTTGGAGTCAAATGTAATACTTAGAGAAACTTCCCCCTGCCAGAGGTCACAGAACCATTGCATGAAGTAATCAAATGTGAGTTACAGACTACTCGTTACCAATTGTCTACTTGTTCTGAAAGGGGGGGCAGGTGAGGAGGGAGGAAATTACCCCAGCTGAGAAATGGTTCAGATGTTAAAATAACCTACTTGTCTGCTGATGCTTGTTGCTTCCAGAACCTGAAAACTGGTGGATGTCCAGTATAACTGTTTTTCGAGATGTGCGTTTTTACAACATTACCTTTTTTCTTCAAATATTGTGACAAGGATTCATTTCCTCGTGTGTCTGATTCTGAGCCCACAGGGAAAAATATGCAGAGGCCAAACTTGGAAGCAGGCATGTTTTTCCATTTGGCAAATTAGAAAAAGGCTGTATGACTTCCAGATGTTTGAAGTACCGCTTTCCTTTATCGCTTCTGTTGCCAAAAGGTTCGTGCTCTCTTTGTAGTGGGACAAGAAAAGTAGGTTTTGATGTTCCTTTCTGCCAGAAAGATGAGCTGATGTTTAGCGTTGCTTCTCGGGGGTAGCGGTTGCTCTTTGTATAAGCAGGACTGTAAGACAAGTGGGGCAGGTGGGAGTCTGAGACTCAGGAGATTCAAGTTCCTTCTGCCTGTCCTGTGTAAACTGGTTACAGGTATCTGGACTGTGGTCTCTGGTTCGGATGTCTTGGGGGTTAGTGAATCCTTGTATACTGGGTACCCGCATGGTTAGTTACCACTTTCAGAAAGTGTATTATTTTTGAGGACTTTCTATTGTGTCTGGCTTTAGCTCTTCCTTAACTGATACTTTGCTTGACATATGTGCCCCAAAACTAGATCTTTTTAAGCATATCAGCTGACAGATTCAGAGGAAGTTACTTTGTGTATTTAAGATTTAGAAGAATAATGCTTAAGTGTACTGACTGGAATATATGCAATATTTTACAGTTTTCTCATTCTGTGAATATTCATTTTAAGCAACCTTACTGACATGGGACAATTTGGAAACCATATTTCATGTGCCAAAGAGGAGATCTGCCCGAATACGGAGTATTCTCCTGAACTGATGTTCCCAAACACCCTGATTTCTTCTATGGCTGCTTTTTGCATCAAAAAGAACTCTGTTCTGGATGGAAAATAATGCTGCTGAAGGAAAAGGGACCCCTTCAACCTCCAGTGGAAGCTGATGCGTGCTGAAGTGGACTGCCTTTTCGTGGGAGGACTACTACCGGAGCTGCAGCTTTACGCAAACCGTCTGGGTTCAGACCTATTGCACAGAAACATGTGAACTAAAAGTCTCTAACTGAGTATTTCAGACTATATTATATGTTGTCTCGATGAAAATAACTTGTCTATTGCATGAGAGCAGGCCAGTAGAGGTCCAGAAGGAAAAGTGAAGTTAAAATTGGTTCTCTTTTCACAACTGAATTTTCAGCAGCCAGTCAGTCAAACTTAAATTCTGTCACACATCCCTCCCCTTGAGGGATTTTTCTTTTAAAAAAATTTTCTCTAGTCAAATCATTCAGCTTTTCTTTAGATTTACATGTTGAAGTTGTAGTAGCAGAATGCAGAAATAGTCCTTGTAGAAGTGTAAACCCAAACAAAAACCCAGAAAACCCCAGACAACTTTGCAGTGCCATGCAACCTTGCTGATATCCTGTCTTTCAGGAATTACATGAACGATAGCCTGAGAACAGATGTCTTTGTGAGATTCCAGCCAGAAAGCATCGCCTGTGCGTGCATTTACCTCGCAGCGAGGACGCTGGAGGTGAGCATCTGCTTCCAGTAACTTCAAGTTTCTGAGGACTCTTAATAGAAGCAGAAAACTGAGCTTGTCTTCCCCTCCCTTTCAGATTCCCCTTCCTAATCGTCCACACTGGTTTTTGCTCTTTGGAGCAACAGAGGAAGAAATTCAAGAAATCTGCTTAAAAATTTTGCAACTCTATACTCGGAAAAAGGTTTGCTGCTTTTTTTTTGTTGTGAGTGCTCGTTAAAGGCTGCAGCTTAGAACATGAGTTGGAAAAACTTAACCCATTTGGAAGTAGCTGCAAGCCTGGTACGTTAAGTGGAACAGGATAGTGGTCACCGTGTCTGGGTCTCTAGATTTTATTTTAATTTCTGAATGAGCAGAAAGTCTGGTTTACTGAGCTTTGTGACACGTGGTGCTCCTGTGTTCGCAGGTTGATTTATCTGATCTGGAAAGTAAAGTAGAAAAGAAGAAATTGGCCATTGAAGAGGCAAAAGCACAAGCTAAAGGTCTGGTACCTGAGGGAGCCCCGAGTTTGGATAACACATCAGGATTTTCCCCTATCCCGAAAAATGGTAAGGAGTGGGTAACGTGTTTTTAATAACTCTTTCTTATCTTAAATGTATATTTACCCTTTTGAGATGCATACACAGTGCGATTTGGGGTTTGCGTGTGGCTTTTTTCTTAAGCTGGCTTCTAGCAACGGTTCAAATGGCAGAGTTTGAGTAGGGTTGTAACTCTGATTTCTTGAGACAGGCAAAGGCTAAAACCAAATTGGTCTAAAATTAAGGCTTAGTTTAAACTTACATACAACAGGGCTGTGCTTTTATGTGGTTTTGGCCATAAACTCGGACAAATCTTGCAGTTGGCATGTTAGGCTACAGCAGAGGTAGATTAGGAACTCTGGCAGGAGTAGTATTTTTGGGTGACGGCTGGGGAATATTTTCCTGCCTACTTGGTAGAAAGTTTCTAGTCTCCTGCATGTCTTGCCTAGAAGATAACATCTTCCTCCTCAGTGTACCTCTAAAAAGATAATGAATAATTGGTGAGAAAAGGAAGCTGCTGTTCTGACGTCTCAAAGCGGCTTTGAAAGCAACGCGTTACTATTGCGGTTCACTCCCTGGTGTAACTTCAGTCTTTTGGCAGAAACTTCTGCCTTCGGTGGATTCTTCTTGCGGGGGTTGCGTGTGCCTGCCTGTGTGTGTGAGTGCACGTGCAAGCTGCACGTCTGCAGCACGGGTTACTGCAGAGGCGGCGAAATGGGGCGAGGGGAGGCTTCGGTCCTCCTTTCTTCCACTAGCTGTGCTTTCAAAATGAGGTAACAAAGGCTTGTTTTTTCTAGAGTCTCCAAAAGAGGTTAAAGGAAATAAACCTTCACCCTTACCTGTTCAGGCAATGAAGAATGCTAAAAGGAAAATAGAGGGAGCGAAAAGGACGAGTTCAAATAGCCCAGTGAACGGGTAAGGCTTTCGTCATGCAGCAGCTGGTTTTGTCCCGTGACTACTTCAAGCGAAATAACGTGCTGTTTGTTGTCTCCTGCAGCGTTCAGAAAGGAAGAGAAAGCAGAAGTCGAAGTGGAAGTCGAGATCAAAGTTACTCCAGATCACCATCCAGATCTGCCTCCCCGAAGCACAGGTAGGTACTGCTGTAAGAGAAGGGCGTGGTGCTGTGGGGAGCTCCCACACCAAAATTCCACGGCGCTGCCACACAGAGGCTGCGAAATAGCACGGCAGGGTGTGCTGCTGGTTACAAGTCCAGAACTCGGCTGAGTTGTGCTGGGGCTCACGGGGGAGGGAGTTGCCGTGCCTGACCTTGTCGTGCCTGTGCCAAACAGGCTGGAGGGCGAGCGTGAGCCTGCTGGGCCGTTTCTGGGTGTCAGCCGGTTTGGTGGTGACGGACGGGCCCCCGAGCAGCAGGGTCTGTGTGTTGGTTTGGGGTTTTTGGATTGGAAGCTGGGTGTTAGTGGCTACAGCCTTGTGTGTTTACTGAGCTGTTCTGCAGGAGTTAAACCATTTTCTGCAGCAGATGAACTCTTGACTCCAGTTGCAGTCTCGTTGGCAGCTCCTGCAAAACCTCAGTTTCTGAAACACAAAACGATTCTGGTTTGTATCTAGTTGGGAGCAGTAGAGATTCGTGCCCCTCAGTCAATGAGGATTTGGCTCTTTGTTCAGCAGCCTGTCCCGTTGGGTTTGGTGTGTACTGATAAAAGTGGGGCTTGGTGTTAATGTGTGTGTGGAAAAGACCGAAGCAAAAATCTGCTGATTAAAATTCTTCAGAGTTGAGTTCGAAATTGTGTTTTTGTAGTTATCTGCATCTAGCAAAACGTCTTTAAAATCTGCTTTCTGTGCTGCTTTTGACTTTGGAATTCAGCATATAATGGTGATGCCCATAGAAGGGAAATCAAAGAGACAAAAGGAACATTAACTCCAAATTTGAGTATTTTGCTGACGCTATTGCTGTAACTGAAGCAGGAGTAGTTGTTTTACCTTTTGGCTTGTTGTTGGGAGCCCTCTGAACCTGGCAGTTACTCTTAGCTCTTCATGCGTGTTTTCTGAGTAGTGAAGGAAAAAAATCTGGACCTGAGGCATGACTACTGTGCTGCAAAGGGCTAGGAGTTTGTGAAAATCAGGGTTTCTACAGTAGCCAGATGTGATCAAGCCTAGGACACCAGGTTAGCTTTCATGGGGTACTGAAGGATGGAATAGAGAATCAAGTGCCTGGTCCAAGGCTGTTTGCGTACCTTGGCTCTGAGTGAGAAGCGTTAGTCTGTGTGGTACTTGAAGTGTGGATTATGACTTAAGTCATGTAGAGTAATTCCATTTAGTATTGGGAACATCATACATGTTTTTCTCCTGCTCTTTTTCCTTTCCATAGGAAAAGTGAAAGTTACTCCACATCGAGCGGTTCCAAATCCCACAGCCGTTCCAGGAGCCGCAGTGACTCTCCTCCGAGACAGTTCAACCACAGTTCTAGCTACAAAGGTTCCAAGGTGAGAAGTTACAAGAAATCAAAAGACTACAAATACTCGACCCACAAACCACGGAAATCACGCAGCAGGAGCTCGTCGCGGTCCAGGAGCCGATCCCGGGAGCGCTCGGACCATTCGGGGAAGTACAAGAAGAAGAGTCACTACTACAGAAACCACAGGCACGAGCGGTCGCGCTCCTACGAGCGAGCGAGTCATCGCTATGACCGAGACCACCCTGGCCACAGCAGGCACAGGCGGTGAATAAAGCAAAACCGAGTCTTTCCTTTGGGATTTAAGCAGTGGAGTTCTTCCCCGCTCGGTCTGTGCAGCGTAGAGTTAACCTGGCTTGTAAACCACCCAGCTTGAGTAATGCCCGTGCCGCTGGCGGTTCTGTACTTCCTCTCGTGAGTCCAAAGGAAAGATGATCACGCAACAGGATGATGGGAAAGACTTAATTTGATAAATGTCTTGGTGACTGTTCTGCTGTTCGGCGCCTCATCACGCTGCAGAACGTGTCCGGGGCCGCTCCTCTGCCCGCTCCGTAGTAATCGCGTCCCGTAGCGCGGTGGAGTGGTGGTGGTGGTGGGGGCTTCCAGTTCCACCAGCAGGACCTCGGTTCCTCAGTGGTCTGGAGTACTGGGCTGAGCAGTCCTTCCCTGTGGAGCTGGAAGGCTCGAGGCAGGGCATAAACCCCTCGGAGTGGCTTGGTGCTAACAACGCTGTCTTTTCATACTGACTCCATTATGTTGTACAGATGTAAGGTGACTTTTTTTTTAGAGCTGTTGCCTATATTAGGTTATATATGTGTATATATATTTTGCAGTGTTACAGTACAGTATGGGAATACGGCCTTACTAGCCTTTACACTTTATCCACAATGTAAATAAGCATTTGTTTAATACAGGTGGAAGATATATACAGAAAATTCAAAACTTGAATTCTATCAAAAGACTTGTGTAGAAAATTCTGATAAATGTGAAAGTATTTAGCTCTGTGTATTGAGAGTAGTATATTTTTATCTGTGCAATGCTGCGTGCAGGCCACCAGCTCATAAGACATTTCCTATATATACGTTTTAAGTGGTTTGGAATTCTTTACTCAGGATCTTTGACACTCTGAAGAACTGGTAGTTTGTCAATCTGCATGCTTGTTGGAGAACAGAGCATTCAAAAAAAAAAAATAGCGACACCCCGCCCCCCGCAGCCCAGTAGTATCAGTTCTAGTGGTATATCTGAGCTGTTACTCTTATGCTCCCTAATTTCATTAAAGTATTTGATTTTCTATTAAATTTACTTTATAGTAGTTTCTTATGAGCTCTACCACTGTGCCTACTCGTAAGGAAAGAAACTGGGTGCGGAATGAAGAGATTGCCAGACTGTAGTAGGTTTCAGGCTAGCCCGAGTTGTGACACCCTGAGCACAGGTACAGCAGCCGTCCTGGAGGAGCAGGCAGGGGTCCTGTGTGGAGTAGGGTGCAGGTTGAGCCCCCAGAGCCCCCCTGACTGAGTAGATCTTGCTGGAGGCCCTGCCTGCTGGTTAAACTGCCTCTGCCCGTTCCGGGGGAAGCCTGAGGCTTTCTGGGGTCGATCTCGTAGGTGCCTCAGTGTGGCAGTGCCTCGTTCCAGCACTTCTCTTAAATCCAAACCTCTCTCGTGGCAATTCCCTGAATTGTTAACGTGGAAGCAAGGCAGCGGAAAGGGTTTGCGCTCAGCCTGCCTCCAGCCGACCTCCAGCCTACCAGTTTCCTGAGCTGGAGGTCGTGTGGGATTGCTCTGTGTCATCACTGGTGGATGTGTTTGAACTTGACTGATCTGTGATTGGGCCAAGCGATGCTTTTGACCTCGGCAGCTCCCTCTGACACCCTGTTCCGTAACAGGAATTGCTGCTTCACACAACAGTTACCTGTTGTGAATGTGTAATGAGGCACTGGATCGTTTCAGGGGGTGCTGCTGTTACCCAGTTTTCCCTCTGCCCAGGAATTTCCTGGTCAGTTTGTAGTTCCTCACTGTAGCTGTGGTTACGTCTCAGCTGAGGAGAGACAACTAACTGAGAAAGGCAGGGGATAAAAGCCCCTCGCTCTTCAGCAGGGCACTGCCGTGGGGTGTTGGTTAATCTGTTCCTCAATCAGCAGAGCAGGGGCCTTAACTTGACCTTTGCACACAGGTGGAAACTAATTGTTTCATACCTCACATGCCAAATGCTTGAGTAGAAGTCGAAGCGTTGACGTAGCTGGGACACGATGTGATGCAAAAAGGAGCATCGGCCCATTCAAACGGGAACAACCTGAAGTAACGGGGTTGGTGAGAGACTGCCTAAGTCTTTCTGATCTTGCTGCCTGGGTATTGCTTGGAGCAGGTCAGCTCAAATCTCTTTACTAGTTCTGGTTCTAAAAGGTGGTCAGTGCTTCCCTGTTTAATGCCTTCATTCTGCTCCAGATGCTTGGGGGATTGTGTCCTGGCCCGTTCCCGAGGTAAGCAGTGTACGGGGAGGTGGGTTTCCAGCTGCACCCTCCTCCAGAAAGACACGAAGAGGAATTTCCTTAGTTAACTCTCAGTGCTGTGAGCTACAGCCACAACCTTCCTGCCCTGAGCAGCGTGGATGAGGATAAAGTTGAGAGCCAGGCTGTGTGCACTCTTCTACATGGATTTCACTCGGCATAACCGTCAGCATCTGTGCTGATAAACCACTGTGCTCGTGTGCGGTGCTGAATAAATAGCCATCGGCTTTCTGACACACTTGTGAAAATCTGGAGAGGAAAAACCAAGGGAGAGGGGGTGTAAACAGCAGTTTGGTTCCAGAACTAAAGGGGTTATGTCACAGGACTGAAAGACGCCCTGGTCTAGGAGAGAACAATCTGTCTTTACCAGCAAAAAGCCCGATGCAGGTGGTTACCCCGAGCGTCTTGGCAGCAAGGTGGGCTTGGGAGAAGGTGCGTGGAGTAGCTGGGGGAAGTGAGAGAGACCTGTGGGAATACGGGGGGAGTAGGTGCCCCCTGGGCTGTGCCTGTTCTCTCGATCCGTAAAGGCAGGCGGCTGCGGTGGCTTTTCCTTTGCTCAGGGAGCCCAAGGCGAAAGCGTCGCTGCGTTGTTGGGTCACCAGGGGAATCCACAAGTGCGAGCGGTTTTCCAGCATCCGCTGTGCTGGGTGCGGTATCCGTCCTCTTCACAGCCCCGTTCCAAATACAACACCCCTTCCCTCCCATCCTTCAGCCAGCCCAAGCAGCACTACAACAGAGGTGGGTTTGGGGGTGGTTTGGGGGTTCTCTTATTTTTTTTTTATTCTGTCTAGACCTATGCCAGGGGCTTGTCTTTAATCTCTGTGTGTATGCCCACTGGTTACCGTGTGCCTCAGGCACCAGCTGAACTTCATGAATGGGAACAGCTCTGGTCCTCTTCACCCCTCCAGTAATGACCAGCTGCACAGGTAATGACCAGAGGAGGTCTCCAGGAGATCACAGAGCTGTGCTTCACAGGAACCTCGCCCTTTGACACACAGGAAAGAGAAATGGGCCGTGTGTCTGGTCTTGGGGTGTGAAAGTGTTTCAAAGTGGATAAACATCTGTGGTGGTTTTGATGTGAACCACCATGGGAGAACCGTCGAGACAATGGGGGGGGGAAGCAAGCACTGCTGACGAGAAGCAAGCCAGAAGTCCCATTATCGGAGCTGAAGTTATTTTTCTTCTCTTTTCTTGGCACCAGTTTGCATTTGTTCACTTAAGCCTTTGTGCGCGCAGTCCCTGTGGCAGGTGTCGAGTGGACGTGATTGGGCACAACACTGAAAGAGCCTCGGGGGGGGGAAAAAATCAGCCCGGTCTTCTTAAGAAACACTGTGTGAAGTCACCACTTTGTTCCTCACACATGCTGAACGCCCTCTTACAACCCCACGTTTTGTCTCTTTACATCTGATGAAGTGTCAGATGCTTTTCCCAGTGTCTTCTACTGAGCTGAAAGGAAACAGGGCTGCTTTTTGTCTTACTAGAAAAAACGTCCTCACCTTGGGGTCATCTGATGGGGTAGCAGTCGGAAACCACTGGTGTCTGGCAGAACCGGTGGTTTGTGTGAAGTGATAACGCCGAGACAGCCCGTACCCTAAGTGTGACTTAGGAAATCGCCCATCAGGCAGGCAGTCCTGCGCCTGAGCTCTGGGGGAACTTGGCAGCTCTTTGGTGAAGAGTTGCTTTCCGAACCTTTCAGTTCTTTCATTTTGGCTCGTTTTCCTCGTGAGCGGAGCTGACTATAGACTGAGTGATGCGTGACCTGCTGAGATGTTACTTCGCTATTTACCGAAGGATCAACTGCTCTTTTCTAGGTACCAGTAGTGTTTGATCTGTGCGTGTTTCAGGAGGCTGGAGAAGTGGTGCGGGCTCCATTAGGCATCGCCTTGAATCCAAACACGAAGTCCTTGTAGCCAGCAGTGACCACCTCTGACCTGACTAGTTCCTCCAGCTGTAACCTGTGCCGTTCGCTGTATCCCTAGTACCGAGACCAATCGTTTTCCTTTAGCTCCCCCCAGCTACCAGCGCTTGTGACTGTGTCACAGATCATACGGTATTTGGGATTGGTTCCCAGCCTGCAGTGCTACTGGGTAAGAAATCATGAGAGAATCTGAAAACAAAAAATTCTAGTTCTCATGGTTACAAAGATTACAAACCACAGAAACCTGTGTGTGTCAGGCTGAGCAAACGGAAGACGAGGAGCTCAGGCTTAGCTAAAATAACTGGTTTATATATAGGGGTCTGCATATGCAAGTCTCGGCTCATGAGGTGAGTTACGACCTGTTTTCTGAATATCTGAAGGCTGCAGCGGGGCGCTCGCTCGTCAGAACATCTCTTGGGTGGCTCTTCTGTGATCTCTCTGTATCTGGTGTTGGTGTGTAATTCCCTCTGCTTGGAGAGAGGTCACCTCACTGGCCAGAAGCTTTGAAGGGACAGTGCTTACTGAAACCTCTGACTCGGAAGACACTATGGCCTTGGCCAGGCTGTGGTTCTGTCTCCTCAGGTAAAGCCTTCTGCCTGCTCTGGCAACGCCACCTCATCCTTCCTTCATGGGAAATAATTCTCTGGGCTTCCTGGCTAATGTTTCCTCAACAAGAGACTCCACAGCTCGAAGTCCAACGTGCAGGTAGAAGGTCACACTTTCAGGTCTGTATTTGCTCTGTATCAACAGAGGCTCAGCCAACAAATCTTTTGCTTTTTGGGTGAGATCCTGAAGAATTATTTCTTCAAATGCAAAGCTTCCTCTAGCTCGGTGTGTGCCAGGCAGG